TATGCTGAAATTCCATACAAATCTGCGATAAAAATTTGCGAGCCCACGGAAACTTTGAATGTCTGTATGAGATGTTGGGATTGGCTATGATTGGATTGCTTGGAGCTTGCTATCATCTGTTTTTTACCATCTTGGCTAGTGATAAAGCCTAAGAAGTGGACTGCAGTGGTTGCGAATTTGCACTTGGGAGAATTAAAGTAGAGTTAGTGTTAAAGTAGAGACGACTAATTGGAGATGATTAAGATGCTCATCTAAGGAAGTACTATAGAGAAAAATATCGTTAGATTCAACAACGCAGAATTTATGTAAAAAAGATTTTAATGCCTCATTCACGAGCCACACAAATGTACTTGGGAGTATTGTAAAAACCAAATGACATGACTCACCACTTGTATAAACCTTATTTTTTAAAAGACTTCTTCCACTCATCTTTGGGCGGAATGCGAATTTGGTGATAACCACTGCGTCGGTCTAATTTTGAGAAAAGTTTAGCACTTGGAAGTTTATCCAAAAGATCTTCCAGCTGAGGCATAGGGAAATGATTTTTCACTGTAATCTTGTTAATGGTACGGCTGTCATTACATAGTTGCCAACTTTCTTCTTTCTTTCGAACGTATGAATTGCATGTTATGAAATTCTTCAGCTATTTCTTGTAAGATCTTTTGCTCTTTGCGATTAATTGTGGAATGTCGTACATGGAATGTCGTACATTAGGCAGTGTCGATGCTAGAATAAATTCGAATTGGGTGCTGGATGGAACCATTTGATTTGGAAGGTCCTTTGGAAATATAACTTGATATTGTGAGGCAGTTTTGATAAAACTGTAGGAAATTTTTGCCGTGAATTGCATGATTCGGTGTCCAAAATTGCAAATAAACACTCCTTGAATTGAGTAATAATATGATTTCCAGGTACTGTCAAGAATCCAACGTTATTTGTTATAGGACATTTAAGAGTAGGATCTATATGAAGCAGTTGAATTGTTTTGTTTTTCCGTTCAAAAGAATAAGCATTAGCCTTACAATCATAGATTGCCCCCATATCAAATTTCCATGGCTGACTTAGTATTAGGTGATAAACGTCCTTCTCAAAGATATCACACAGTTTTTCTCGATTGAAAAAGTTACTTTGCAAGATTCATTAATTGATACATCAACACCTTTTCGAACCCAACTAATTTTTTAAGGATTGAGATGTTTGGTGGTCTTTAAATATAATGCTTTAACTGCTTTTCTTGAAATTATGTTTTCAGTACATCCATTATCAATGATAATATCACATACTTTGCCATTGATTGTACACCGGGTCTTGAAAATCACATGGCGTTGAGTATTAATAGGTTTTTTAGGAGCTAGCAATACCTTTTCAAGGTTGCACGAAAGAAATTCTCCCTCATCGGTCGATAATTCGTCCATGGTTTGAGATTCTTGGATGATTTCAGTTTCTTCATATTCATTGTCAGCATCTAACAACTGAAGTTTCTTCCGATTCAGACAACCATTGGATCTATGACAAGGTTGAAGGCACCTAAAGGATATTGATGGTCGTAGTCTGACATAGCTATTGTCTTTGTTTGATGGTTGTTTTCCAGTTGGAGGATTTATTGCTGGTATAGTAGTTGCTGATTGAGATTGGATACCCTCGACAACATTAGAAGGTACCTTAAATTTTTCCAACGTTGTATCACTAGCCATATTCATGTGGCGGTAATGTGTTTGTATTGGATCGATCCTGGATGTTCTCCTTCAAACCCCCAACGTAATTAGCAACCAATTAATGATTGGATCCGTTCAGGCTATTGCATGCACACAACATGTTAAATTTTTCTGTATAAGAACTAACAGTTTATGTTCCTTGCTCACATCTTTGGTAATGAATATATAACATTTGCTTGAAATCAGTAGGAAGGAAGTGGCCGCGAAGTAGTTATTTCATTCGATGCCAACCACGCACATATCCTTTTCCTTCTATGACAATGCTGATTTAATTGAATCCACCATGATCCTGCATCTCCTTTTAGCCTACAAGCCGCATATTTCACTTGTTTATCTGGTGAAATTTTCAAATATTCGAAGAATTTTCTACATATTGTTTCCAGTCCAAACAATCCTCAACGTGTAAACGACCATAAAAAATGGTTATATCGATTTTCATTTTGAATTCTCCAGGTGTGCGATGGAACGAATGATGATTATGGTGTTGGTGTTATATAGGAATTGATTTCTCCTCGGACTCGGAATCAAATAGGATTGCTCGTCGATGGTGAATGGATTCGTCTCCCAGATCATGATAATAAGAATTTTGTGGCAAATTGTATGGGTTGTGTCATTGATTTAGGTTTATCTCAGTGGTTTCTCCATATCCAGCGAGGTTTGCTGGATCTACCGGTAAGATTGCCGGATGTATGAAGCCACCATTTCTGAGATTGCACAGTTCACTTTTCATTTCAGTTACGAGCAACCGAATTCTTGTGGAAATATCATCAAATTTGCGATCTAGAGCTGATTGGGCTTCTCGCAACTCATCCCAACTGTGATCGTCGTCGAATAGTCTGAAACAAAGATTGGTCTGCATCACCATCACTCTTTGTGTGCTAGTATTTGAAACATTTTCTAGTTGTAAGACTTTATCTGAAGATTTTGGAGTTGATACTAACGATTTCCTATCTATGAAGTATGTACTTGAGGAGCTTAATGTAAAAGCAATCCTTCCTTGCAACGATACATTGAAATACACATCTTTAAGAGCCGAACCAGACTACAGGTGCAGTTTATAACTTTTGGTCTTTTTATGCCATGGTTCAGGCTTAAATAACCATGATAAACCTTTTTATTTATTTATTTATTTCTTTTTTTTGTATTACTCTATATACAGCATCTTAGGTGTCAGGTTGGGAAAGGCTATGGGATCTGTTGCTAAGGAGGTCAAGGCAATTAAGCAGGCTGATATTTTAGCTTTTGAAAGCTCTGGAGAAGCTACATTTTCTGGCCACTGTTTAAAATTTAATGAAATTAAGGTTTGTGATTAACTTGATAAGTTATAGGAGCAAAGGTTTGATTTTATTACTTAAAATATTCTTTTATGTTTTATTGGATTTTGATACCTCCAAACCATGCTTTGAATTCTTTTTTTGTATTCATTTAGGTTTGATAACTTACTAGGTAGATTTTTGGATCACAATCTTTGAAATCTTTTGTTGCATTCATACTATTGTAGTGACTTGATAGTGTAGAATGCTAAATGCTATTGAAACAGATCAGCTAAAGGAAAATCAATAGTTGTAGCCAACCACATCGACCTAGAGAAAGACTATTATTACAGCTGATTTTGAAGTTTCAAAAAAGTAAAGGGCTTGTTTGGGATCAAATTTATTTATTTTTATTAATTTTTTCTTTTGTTTTAAAAATATGTTTGTTTAGTGTATTATTTGCATGTTTTTATTTTTTTGTTTTCAAAAATAAATTAGCATGTTTTTAAAAAAGTCAAAACTTCTAAAAACTGTTTTGAGTATTTTTAAAAACAATTAAACATTGTTTATTTCATGTAAGAACATAAATAAAGCAAAATAAAAATATAAATAAAAAAAACAAAATAAAAGGTGATCCCAAACAGCCACTTAATGCTTACATTTGTGTGTTCTAAGTCAATTAATTGTATTTCATCTTAAAATCCATAATGAATATAACATCATGCATTAAAAAGTGTCTGATCTGTGCATATGTTGCGAGCCTTACAAAGTTTTGTATATAAAATGAATAATGAATATAACATCATCGCATACCTGGAACATTATCAATAATTAGCAATTATAAATATATGCTGTAATATTTTGAAGGCTACATTCATCACCTTGAACATTATCTTTAAATCTGCAGAAATGCACTGAATGTTGTCACCAAGATTCAACTCATTTTTATTTTATTGTACCTAGAACCTATAATTTCGGAAAGAAAAAATACTTTTGTGGTCACTTGTGCTACAGGTTCTGCGGGAATTCCAGAGACCTGCCAACATTACAAAGGAAGAAATGGATGCTGCAGGGGATGGTAATTAGATTTTCTTTTTCAACATCAGAGAAAATTAGATGTTATTTGTGCATATTATTTACTTTATTTTTTAGGTGATGTCCTTGTGATATTGGATCTGCGTGCTGATGAATCCCTGTATGAGGCTGGGATTGCACGTGAGGTAATGTCAAGCTACGAAGGAGGGTTATTTGAGTTTGTTTTCTCTATAGTCTGTGATTTTAGATTTATTGATTGTTTTTAATGTTTGGTTCACACCCATTTCACTTTAATTTGTGGACACAAAATGAGATTTCTTACATTATAATTTTGCGAAAGATTTATTAAGTTCCAAAATAGTCCCCTCATGATTCATTTGCGGCTAATCTAGTTTTGGAGAATTACATTTCTCAAATTTAATGCATTGAATTTATAAAATTGATCCAAAATAACCGCTCGTATGAAAATCTAAATTCGATATTGATCCCATTTTAGCTCCTCGTTCATACAAAAGTGATCTCAATTTATCCTTTTAGATATTTTCTTGGATCATTTTTTATTGTTGAGGATCTAAATTAGAGAAATGTGACACTTGGAACTAGATTGGCCACATACAAGTATTCAAAGAGCTATTATTGAGTTTAACCAATTTTATCAAATATTCGGTTCATGTACCCTGACCGTTTGTCTATCCATGATTGATTTCAAAATCTTTAAATTTTCTATGAGATTGATGTGAGACTGTTGCAATACAAGTATAGAGTGATTAGTCACATATTGCATTCATCTCAAAAAAGTTCATTAGCTTTCAAATTGCATTCTTTTACAATTTTTTTTCTTACAGTTTCTTCAATGGAATCAAAATTGGAAGCGGGAACCTTTTTCTTTTTTGGAATTTTTTTTTTTCAAATGAAAGCTTTTTGGAGGTTTTTATGTAATAACTAGTGTGGTAGCTTGGCCAGCTCTAGCTTCTGCTCATCTACTGTGCAGAATGAGCCGGCTACTTGTTAAATTGCCACCACTTTAGACTGTCTAGTTATAAATTGATATTTTCAATGAGTTCTTTTAATTAGATGCTCCGAAACCTGCTATTTCTTGTTCATTCAGGTGATTAATAGGGTCCAGAAACTAAGAAAAAAGGCTGGTTTGGAACCCACTGATTTTGTGGAGGTTTTCTACGAGTCATTGGACGAGGACAAAATTGCTTTAGAAAACATTGTGAAGTCACAGGTATGATTTTTTGTTCTTTTGTAAGTTGAAGGTTTGATTTTTTTATGTATTTTTATTCAAGTATTGATTCTTAATACTGAATATGTCAATTGTTCTATCTTCCTCTTCTCCTATTATGTAGGACCAATCCATCAGAAAAACCCTGGGTTCACCTTTGCTTCATCACACAATGATTTCTAAAGATGCTGTAAGTATCTGAAGGCTCCCCACTGCCTCTTTCACAACCACAACCACAACCACAACCGAAGGAAAAAAAATGAAAACTAATTTGGTCTCCTTAAATCTCAGCATTATTGTCCTCTCATTGTTTTTTATTTCATGTGTTTTATTGTAATATCATCATCAGATATGTCTGAGTATTATTATTGCATTGTCCTTATTAATTTGATTTCCTTGTCAGGTTATTTTCTGCCGTGAGGAAGTACATGGAGTTTCTGGTTTTTCATTTGCCATCACAATCACAAAGCCTACTTTGATGTTTCTTTTAGAAGACATTGTTAAATTATTTTCTGGTGATTTCATTTGTTTCTCTGATTAAAGCTTTGGGACATTTACATACATACCACATAATTCTTATAAATATACATATCTACCACCTAAACATTCATATTTACATTCATGAACCTCAATTCTTCAGCATCACATAATAAGTGATGCCATCACTGCCTTTCTAAAAATGAAATACATCTTTTAATGCATAGGTTTATGACACCAAGGTGTCATTATTAAGTGTAAATATCAAACTTTTGGTGAAAGATATGTTAATACATAAGAATTATATTGTAAGCATGTAAAGTTCCATAAGTTTTTTTTTTGCCATTCAGTTTGTAGTATGCAGACGTTTCTGAACACGTTTTGTTTTGAGCTGATTTCAGGAAATAACAAGTTCGCTGAAGCTTTGTGCACTTATCTGCTATCTAGGGACCATTCGAAGTTAAGATCAGAGTTCCAGGCTGGAAAGGGCAAGGTTTATATGATTTTATTCACATATTCAATTTATTATTATGACGAATCTTCTTTTGATTTTGATTCTGAAAAAAGCTGGACTAAGCGTTTTTGATAATTACCGTCAAATATATTTCCACCCTTGATGAAGTTGGGAATATGGAAAATCTAACTTTGCGAGAGTAAAAATAACATTAACAAAAGAGTCATACAAAACACGCCATGAATTTATGTATCTTTACCCAATAGATGGATATGCCATGCTGCTGTTGTGCCATTGATCTTGATGTGGTTTGATTGTGAAGTTTTGTAACACTAATGCCTCATATCTAACATAAAGATGGTAAACAAAAAAATAAGAAAACATAAAGATGGCATTCTCTTTATAAGGAGAATACAACAAACAAAATGATTTAAATTTTCAAAACACACCTTGACCAGAAATATTGAATATTGTGACAAAGGGTCTGTTTGGCATAGCTTTCTCATTGTATTGCTTTTCATTCCACTGCCACAACTTTGTTTGGATATGCATTTTTTTTATGCTTTTCAGAAATTTCTAGTGTAAATTTGCATTTTGCAATTGTATTTTTACAATTGCAAAATACGGTAGCTCTAAAATATATTATTTAATCTTTTTTTAAAAAAAAAAACTTTTATATTACACGCAACAATTTTTACAAAAATTAATTTACCAATAACAGCTTTGCAATTATCTGTATGAAAAACTACACTCCAATAAGACCAAGTCTGTGAAATGTATTCTATGCTAGTGTAAAAATTGGGCCCCACAGAAACATAATGGAGGTGAATAAAGATTTTGCTTAAAAGCTGATTTTTGTATTTTGGCGAAATAGATTTGTATGAAGTTATTAAACATAGGCTAGGCTAGACATTAGTGTCAGCCATTAGATGACTTCAAAGCTTGTGCTCAATTCTCACCGTTTACTAAGCAGGCTCCTATATTCTGTTTTGTAGATAACAATTGAATGCTTAGAAAATCAACCTGTGGTCGATGTGGAACTAGGAAAACATTTATATCTATGCACTGGGGATTATCACTTGAGCAGAACAGTGTAGAAGAGAGTATATTGTTATACAGCGGAAGAAGAAATATGGAAAGGAAGGGCATAGCTATTCCAAATGTAATGTCATGTACTACTTATTTTATTTTTTGTTGTTGTCTAGATGTTTATCACTTTTTATTCATTTTCTGCTCTTCCTTGTATAATCTTATGGTTATTGTATTTATCTTTTTCATTAAAGTCAGCTTAATTGTACACGAAGTATTTGTAGTTGGTTTGCTCATAATATAAAGAAATGTCCTGATGTGATATGAACACAAACTTATATAACATGACTGCTTTGCAAAATAGTTAAGCTACTATATTAAATAATTTTTTTATTACAAAAAATATTTAAGAATGTTAAGAAAGTGTTAATTTAGTTTTTAATTAGTTGTATGGAGTTCAAATTAAGGTTAGGTCTTAATTTGAACAATAAGGGGGATATTTGGTAGCATCTTATTAACAGAATTTACATATGAATTTATCTGGATTTAATGTAAATCCAGACAAACACAATAAAGAAGGGAGCTAAATCCGGCTTTCGGCTAAATCTCATTTTCTTTTGTTTCAACGGTAATCTAGATTTAGTAAATGTATTTGAGAGGTGGATTTAATTTACTTGGATTTAGTCATGATTGAACCAAATACAATTCTGGATTTAATAGCATCTGGATTTACTGGATTTATTAAATTCGATTTAACATAAATTCTAGATGGAGTCAAAAATCCGCAAGTGTGCTTCTAATGACTATAACTGAATTTTGTTGATTTGAAACCATCTATTATAGTGATTGAGTTGAGTCGGTTTAGTGGACCCACACAAGGTTTTAAAGGTTGATTTGATCAAATTGAGTCAATTAGGTCAACTTGGCTAAAGTTGAGTCAAGATTGGGTCTAAAGGCTTATAGGATAAGTATGTTTGAAATTTAAGTTAAGAGTGCTTTGGGTTCTTAAGGGTGTGCTTAGTTGGCTCCATGACTCATATTAACTTGGTTGTGGTCAGTTCGATTTTGCTCCAAGTGAGTTGAGGATCAATTTAAGTCCATTTTGAATCAATTAAGATTGGTTGACATTGGGTCAATGTTTGGCTTAGTGACCATCTAGTTACTAGGAATGTCTGCTAAGGATCTTGTTGGGGAGCTTCTATACTAAGATTGGATTCTAGGCCAAGGAAGAGAGAATGTGTCAAACTCATTAATAATATGGTCAATAGTACCAAAATATTGAAAAAATTCTTCAAGGATATCTCCCTGAGTTTGATTTTTCGTTTGGGTAAAAAATTTTGAACAAATTATAGTTTTTATTATGTGGAGAATTGTTGAAATGATTCTAATTTGAATATTATACTTCCCTGCATTTCTTTCCTTCCATATGTGTGAACAATAAATTTTTCTTGCAATTTAGTTCTGCCTACCATGGCTGAAATGTGATCTAAGATCTATAAGAGTGAGGGACTAAGCATAAAAGTGGTTTTCTATGGAAGCCAGCCCTTTAGAATGGCATCAGAGAATGTGTAGGTTTAAAAAATTAGTGATTAATAGTTTGTTTTTTTTGTGTGTGAAAAAGTGAGCAATAAGTGATGTAGGGATAGCTTTTGCCCAAGAGAGCATCAATTGTTTTTAAAGCACCCAGGATTGTCAGCCAAACATAAATAGCATAGTTCTTATGCTAGATATGGTTGGCCTAGTTGACTTCCGACAACCATTAAAAGAATGCTCACTAATCGCAACTAAAGGAGGGTATTCAATGCCCTTCTAAAGGATAACATTTTAAGTCTGGACACTTCACGTTCGGACGACCAACCGTAGGGAGCCACGTCACCATACATGTTGGCGCCACATCGCCATACACGACGGGGTCGGGCGCGTGGCGCTCGACAGTTGGTTGTCCAAACGAGCAGACATCCAGACATAATATTTTTTTTCTTCTAAAAGGGTATGCCACGTTCTTGATGATTTTAAATATTCCATTTGTTATTGCTTAAGGCAAGTGAAGGTCCAAGCAGGATGGGTCATTGCCAAGAGGAGTTAAAAATTAGGTTAAGGAGTGCTAGGAGAATATTGAAGCGAATTAAAAGCATTAGGATTTAAAATCTCTCATAAATATTAACTTAAGTTAGGTATTGTAGAGAAGCAAAATGTTTGAACCATCCCTAATAACAAATGATAGATAAGGCTTGACTTCATTATATGTTGATTTTATTCTTTTCCAAAAGAAAGAGATTTGCAATTAATATCCTAAAAGGAGATATAATGGCCATAAAGTAGCATTGTCGATATATAATTGCCTTTATCAATATTATAAACTAGCTTATCCAAAGAGTTTGAATAGGAATGATGCCAAGATCATCATAGCTCTATGGCTTCTAAATTATATCCAAAGAGATCATTTAAAGTTTTCTCTTGGAGATGCTACCATGTAAGAGAAATTTGGAGCATCAAGCATTGATGATTTTGATGCAACTTTAAGTAAGAAAAGATCTCACCCAACTCAATAGAATAACCTCATATGGAAAATTTAATAAGTTGAACCTACCAGCTTGTGAAAGCACTTTAGCTTTCCATTCATCAATTGCAAGCTGCAATTTGTGAATCTATGAGGGCACTGAGAGTAACCACTCTGCTCCTACCATCATTAGTGTTATTTGGGATAAGGTGACCCGGAGGTTTAATAATACATTCCTGAATATCATGGAAAAAGGATCTAAATCTATTGCAAGTGGGTGGTTTCCAATCGTTATGGGTTTTAAGTGGAGTACTTACCTTTAAGCTTCAAATGGGTGACATGAAGTGAAGAGCCATTCGTAACATAGATAAAAACCATTGCAAAAGAAAGATAAGCTTTGTTTGTTATAAGAGCATTAGTTGTCAACAAGATTTCCAGTTTTTTATAGATTTTTAATTTATCAGAGTTATTTCAAGAACATATGGAGAGCTCTAGGAGTATTATCCATAAGGAAATGGAGATGATTTCTTCTTTGTTGGGTTTGAAAGAAGGGGACTATTTTTGGAGAATAAAAGGCTTCTCAAAGAAAAACCATGGGCCACCCAACCTTTAGACCTTAAATTCAGACCATACTTGACAAAAGACTCCATCATTCATGTAGGAAAACTGGAAGTTTTCTTTCAAGGATCAAGACACCAATTCTACTCCCCTCAAAATTTTTTTCCCTATTTGTTTACACTCTCCTTAGATTTTGGTCGCCCTCCTCGTAAAGTTAGTGTGATACTCATTAGTTTGGTGAAATCACAGCCTTCACGAATCATTATGTTTAGCAATGGATTTTACCTTACAAGTGGCTAGTTTGCAAAGTATATGAAGGACCAGTGAAAATACCATTACAATTTTGGGAATAAAAAAAGTTTTAAACAAATCAAATCTATCACATGATTATTTCTTATTGCAAGGAGAAAGTAAAGAAAAACTACTTAGAATTCAAGGTGATAACAAAATAAAACATGATTTATATTAATACTCAAGTTCATAAAACAAAACTTAAACAAAAGTATAAATATTTATCTCAAACTCTTCCCCAAGCAATATTTTGAAGTTCTCTGGCTTCATTAACTCTAATCGACACTTACAGGTATCACAAAACTTCAACAATCACAAAAACTCGCCACTTTCTCATCATGGTGGTCGTCCACTCTAATGGGGATCCGACCTACACTAAAATGACTCCACACATATCCACTTTTTTGTTTGGAATTCATCCTTATATGTAAAGCTCTAAAAATCACTAAGGGTTGCTTCAGACACATCTTCAAAATTCGTCCAAATTCATAGAATAAAAGGAGTAACTGTTTCTGGCACCTAGGCGCCAAACTTTGGTGCCTAGACACTAATCTCGTCTAGACTCTGGCACTTATGCGCTAGAAGTGGTGTCTAACGCTTAGGCGCCTCTGCTTCATGACTCTTTTTTGCATCCATTTTCACTCATTTTCTTATAATTCCATTTCTTGTACCTGAAACAAAAAACATACAAAATAACATATATAAGTGATTTTAAGGCTTGTCATTACCGTAGAAACAACCAATTTACACCCATTAATTCTTATCTCCCTATATATTTGCACTCACCCTAAATCTTAGTTCTCCTCCATCCTAAGGTTAATATGATATTCACTAGTTGGGTGAAATCATAGCCCTCCCGGGTCATTATGTTTCACAATGAATTTTAATATTACATATTGCCACTCAAGTTGTGAGATCACCGCCTCTCGAGTCTTACTTTCACTTATAACAGATTTTAACATAACATATTGTCGCTTAAGTTATGTCAATAAAGCAAAGGAGATATTACTAATCACATGGAAATAAAAGTCATTCTATCTAAAAACAAATTTTCTTATTCATGCCACTACTTGTCAAAAGAAAAGAGTAAAGAAGACTACTCACGAAGCATGAATAAAATACAATAGAAAAACTTCATTAAATCAAAGTAAATTCATTAGAAAGTATTTATAATAATTATAAGATCATGATAAACACAATACTTAGTTTTTCCCCTCTGAAAGAAAGATGAAAATCTCTCCAATAAAGTCTCATGCCGATCCACGCAATGCTCGTACATTTCCTTACACATATCTCTCAAAGTATCTCACCAATCTCTTCAAAAAGATATAAATCTATATTCCTACTCCTATCTATGACATCTGGACGGTCTTGAAGTTTCTAAGAGTTTGAAATTTCAAAAGGTGGCTTCCCAAGTCCCAAAAGGTGCCTTATAAACCCTTGGGCCGTCTAGATTCATCCACAACTATTTATAGAGCCTAGGCACTATTTTTTAGGCAAGACTGGCACCTAGGCACCACTTTCTAGAGCCTAAGTGCTATCTTGCTGGTTGCACCCTTGTTTAGCTTCGTTTCGCCCCGTTTCAGCTTCAATCTGTTCCAAGTGTTATACTTATAAGATAAACATGAAAATAATCTTCTTTAAAGTGTAATTTTATTCAAAAATGTGATAAATGTAAAGGAGATTAGGTTTAAAAATGTAATTTCATTCAACATTGAAAATCATATAAAAATGCACCCGATCAAAATTTTCTTTCTTGCTTGATTTGACTCTAAATTGCATCAAAATTTTCTTTCTTGCTTGATTTGACTCCAAATTGCGTTTTAGCTCCAAATTGCATTGTTTTTGCTTCATTTTCTCTAAAACTCCATTTCTTGTACCTGAAGTCAAAAACATGCAAAATATCTTCCATTAAAGTGAA